CCACCTTTAAAACGCTCCATGGCATCGGACCTGGTTACCTCCGAGACCGCCTTCTGCCACAGATTTCCTCCCATAGACCGGTACGCTCCCACAGAGTGGGTCTCCTCAGGGTGCCGTCGGCCAAACAGTGTCGGCTGGCGACCCCCAGGGGAAGGGCCTTCTCTGTGGGTGCCCNGAGGATTTTACTTAGGGATGATTTTAAGTATAATTTTAATTGGAACACAGCCTCTAATATTTGGTTTTTAATTTGGTTTTAGAGGGGTTTTTATTTTTGTATATTGATATTTGTATCTGTTTTAATATGCTGTGCACCGCCCTGAGTCCTGCGGGAGAAGGGCGGTATAGAAATTAAATTAATAATAATAATAATAATAGTCCAGGGGTAGGCAACCTTGGCTCTTTTATGACTCGTGGACTTCAACTCCCAGAATTCCTGAGCCAGCATGGCTCAGCTTGGAAACCTCTCCCTTTTCCCTCAGCATGGCTGGCTCAGGAATTCTGGGAGTTGAAGTCCACGAGTCATAAAAGAGCCAAGGTTGCCTACCCCTGCCATAATCCATGGCCACAAAAGGTATTTAAAGGGGATCTGTGGTGAAGAAAAGTTTGGGAATCACTGGCACAGGTCATTTCTAGCCATCTGTAAAGTTATATACAGGTAGTCCTTGACTTACAACAGTTCATTTAGTGACCGTTCAAAGTTACAAAGGCACTGAAAAAAGTGACCGATGGCCATTTTTGACACTTACAACCTTTGCAGCATCCCCATGGTCACGTGATCAAAATTTAGATGCTTGGCAACTGGTTCATACTTATGACGGTTGCTCTTTCTCAAGGTCATGTGATCTCCTTTTGCAACCTTTTGACAAGCAAAATCAATGGGGAAGCCAGATTCACTTAACAAGCATGTTACCAACCTATCAACTGCAGTGGTTCACTTAATAACCGTGGCAAGAAAGGTCATAAAACGGGGCAAAATTCACTTCATGACCGCACCAAGAAGAGTGCCTAGACAACAATTTCCCACATGCCTTTTCTAACTGTTGACAAAGTTGTGTTAGTAGAATTGCATTCCAAGGACAAAACCTGTTCCTCCAACACAAAATGCATTCTTTCCCCATAGATGGTGTGTATATGTGTGTACAAAGACACCAGTGCTAATCTCTGCAGGAAAACGGCAGTCTTCTCTGCCTCTTATATAACAAAGTGACTGAGTCACTCCGAGTGTCATATTACAGATGTGTGAGACCTTGCACACAACTTGTATGTTGCTGTCTGGCTTTGGTAATATTCTATCCCACTTTTAAGCCAAGATTTCTACTCAATAGGAGCTTAAAACCCAGCTTCACAACAAAAATGTGACCCATAACTGAGGAAGAACAAACTCAGTGCTGTGATAATAATGCTTCTGCCCTACAAACATAAAAGAAGATTTTGAAGCCCTTCCTTTCATCACTCCTCCATAACAACCTCTTCTCAACTCTATTCTCACATACAAGGTTAATTAAATCTATGTCATCAATTCAAATCGACCCTGGATTAAAGTAAATCAGTGAGGATTTGTTCTGTCTCCAAGGCCTTCATTTCGGCCCAGGCTTGCGAAGAATCTTCGCCTAGAAAGGGTTGCCAAGAACACTATAATGGGTGTCCTCCTGGATCCGCGGCTGACACTGGAAGACCAGTTGGCGGCCGTGGCCAGGGGGGCGTTTTATCAGGTACGCCTGATCTACCAGTTGCGGCCTTTTCTGGACCGGGACGCCTTGCGCACAGTCACCCATGCTCTGGTCACCTCCCGCCTGGACTACTGCAATGCTCTCTACATGGGGCTCCCCTTGAGGAGCACTCGGAGGCTCCAGTTAGTCCAGAATGCAGCCGCGCGGGCGGTGTTGGGAGGGACTCGTCGCTCCCATGTAATGCCGTTACTGCGCGAGCTGCACTGGCTGCCGGTGGCTTTCCGGGTGCGCTTCAAGGTGTTGATTATCACCTTCAAAGCGCTCCATGGCATCGGACCTGGATATCTCCGAGACCGCCTTCTGCTTCAGATTACCTCCCATCGGCCGGTACGCTCCCACAGAGTGGGTCTCCTCAGGGTGCCGTCGGCCAGACAGTGCCGGCTGGCGACCCCCAGGGGGAGGGCCTTCTCGATGGGAGCTCCCACCCTATGGAACGAACTACCCCCAGAGATCAGGGTGATCCCGGATCTCCCTTCCTTCCGCCGCGCCCTCAAGACATGGCTATTTAAGCTGGCAGGACTGGCCTAAGGGGTATTTTTAGTTGGGTTTTAAAACATTTTTAAAAATAACAAAGGCCAAATTAATATTTCCTTTTAATTACGTTTTAATGGTAATATTTTTGTACTTTTGTATTTGTTTTTATTAGGCTGTTAGCCGCCCTGAGTCCGCAAGGAGAAGGGCAGGGTAAAAATATAATAAATAAATAAATAAATAAAATAAATATAATTTCTTCCCTTTGTCTTGTTTTAAGCTTTCGGTGAATCCTAACTAAGAATTGTAGCTGGTCAGAGATTGGATGAGTCTAATAGAGTGGATGTCCTGAATCATAGTTAATCACCCCCTACAGTGCAGGAGAACCCAGTTTTCTATCATTTGTTTCCGTGGTTTTCTGGGCAAATATTTCCTCCGTTGCTAGACACTGAAACTCAGAACTATCCTTTTTCTAATCCAGAAGGATTGATAGACCTAGAACAGAGATCCCCAACTTTTGGGGCACCAGGGACCAGTTCCGTGGAGAGAGTTTTTTCCACGGAGTGGAGGGTGCGTGTGTCACGGTTCCGACAGATAAAACTCTTCAAAAGAACTTTGAGACATTGTTTACCTTAAAGAATCTTTTATTCGAGAAACAAAGTATCGGCACTACATAGTTAAAGCCAAAAACTGAATTTCCCTCCCCTGGGCACAAAGTAACAAAGCACAATTCCCTCCTCCAATTAACAGTCATAAATCACATTCCCCAATTAGCTTGAAGCATGGGCTTTCTCCCCACCTCTCCAGCCCGCCAAATCTTTATAAACTCCGGGCGCAATAACCTTGGATTCCCACGGCTGAGTTATTATTGTTATGACTAAATGGACTCTCATCCACATTCCCCCTCCCAGCATCAACTAACTCTAAAAGCAAAAGAGTAAAATGGCTGCATTTCCTTCTGTTGTCGAAGCAAGAACATCCAATGTTAGCAGCGTTGACAGCGTGGTTTTGTGTTCTGCCAGCATCTCGCGGATAGGGTTTTGCTTGTTTGTGTGGACCGGTTGCTGTCATACTGTGGCCCGGTACTGGTCCACAGACCGGGGGTTGGGGACACCTGACCTAGAACTAAGAAGAAATTTGCTGACAGAACAATTAACCAGTGGAACAACCTGCCTCCAGAAGTTGTGAATGCTCCAACACTGGAAGTTTTAAAGAAGAGATTGGACAACCATTTGTCTGAAATGGTATAGGCCAGGGTTTCCCACCTGAGCAGGGGGTTGGACTAGAAGGCTTCCAAGGTCCCTTCCAATTACTCTACTCTACTCTATTCAGCATATAAATGCTGATCAGTGTTACAGTGTACAAGTACTATGTTATTAGTATCACATATGAAGTAACAAATCTGGATACTAATGCTTCTTGTAGATACAGTAGTCCTAATTACTATCATTGGCTATTTATTTCTGAATAATTTATTTACAATTTAAATTATTCAAAGTTTCCAAGAGATCAGAATGACTAAAATGAAGAGTTGAAGCAACCAGATGTATGTATGAATTTATTTTCACATTTTTGAATTGTCAATATCCCTCCGAGAATGCACTTCAGCTCCCAGAATTCCCTAGCTAGCATGGGATTCTGGGATCCCATCTTAATTCCCTGAATTCTGGGAGTTAAGTCCTCACAACTTAATGTTCCCAAAATTGAGAAACACAGGGTTATTTGATAGCTTTGAAAAGAGAGTGAAATCCATGGAAAGAGCCTCCATAACTGCTTAGCCAGGTTACTTTGTTCTGAACTTGTTAAATAAGCCATGGTGGCCTGGGTTGATATGAAAGGAGAGCCTTTGAAAAATCATGAAAGTATACAATATCTTGCTATAATTCTGAATCCATTCCATAATTAGAGTTTAATATTGGTTAGGGGTTTGTCCTTAACTTGGTGCAAACTAAGCTTGTTGGCTCATCTAATGTTTCTCAACCTTAAGAACTTGAAGCTGTGTGGATTTCAACTCCCAGAATTCCCCAACAGCATAGGTAATGAATGGTTTGGGAATTCTGGGAGTTGAAGTCCACACATTTTCAAGCTGCCAAGGTTTAGAAACACTGAAGTAAGGCTAAGCTGCTGAAGATGATGCAAATGGAGAAAGTATCCAGAAAAAAAAATCTAGGCACCAATTTAAAGCTATTGAATAAATGCAGCTACTGAGGAATGGGAAAGAAATATGTGAAGGGGAATTTTTTTTAAAGAGAATAAAGTCCCCTTAATAAGAAAGGAGAACTACGGTAGAGAGAACAGACAGCTTTGCTCTTTAAACTAGCAATATTGGACAGGCGCTCTGAGCATGCGTGACACAGCCCGCTTACTTGCCTGCTAAGTGTGAAGGGGGCTGAGAAGAATCTCCGCGCAAGCGTAGAAAGAACTACTCGGCCCATAGAGATAGGAAAAAAAGTCCATTGTGCGCCTGCTTCAAGGAGTTGCGCGTGCGCCAAAGTTCCTCGCCTCCAGGTTGGCTTCGCAAGTCGCGACTCGGAACGCTTTCCACCTCCCTTTCCCTAGTCTGCCTGCCCTCACGCCTGCGCAGTTCGGGCCGTTCGGCTACCGCTTGCTCGGACGGCGCATGCGCAGAAGCGCGGTCCTAGCCTGTCAGGCGCTCGCTTCGGCCTCGTCTCTCTCTCCTGGTGCGCCTGCGCAGTTGGCGCCGCCTGGTTGGTGGTGCTGTCTGGAGCCCGGTGGGAGGGGGGAGTCGGGGGCGGGTGGGGGGAAAGAGGAGGAGGAGGAGGGATGCGGACGGGGGAAGATGGCGGCGGCGTCGTCGAACAACCCGCGGAAATTCAGCGAGAAGATCGCGCTGCACAACCAGAAGCAGGCCGAGGAGACGGCGGCCTTCGAGGAGGTCATGAAAGACCTCAGCCTGACGCGTGCCCACCGGGTGAGGAGGACCCGACGGAGGAGGGGAAGGATGGAGAGCGGGAGGGACCGGTGGACTGACGCGCTGTCCGAGTCCCCTCAGAAATGCATCGAAATCCGCCCCTCTTCACTGTGGGGCTTAGGCAGGGGCCCGTTTTTAAAAGTCCGTTTCGGAAGGGGAGGTTGAGGGGGAGTCGAGGGGCGCCCTCTTTTTCCTTTTCCCCGAGAAAAAGGGGAGGTGTTTAAAAACCACCCCCTCAATTTGGGGTGAGGGAAGGGGATTAAAAAGACCGTTAAGCGCGGCGCGGGAGACGCCGGATTGGCATCCTTTTTTCCCCTCAGCGAGTGGGTGTGGGGGAGAGAACGGAGGGGCCAGCCCGTCATTTCAAGTTGAGGAGGGGGGGCAATTGAGGGGGGGGAGCAGACGCCCCCCTGATCAGGGATGGAGCTGGGAATCCAAGCAAAAAAATCTGTTGAGGAAAAAGGGAGAAGTGAAGCCCCCCGGTTTAAAAAAAAAGAAAAAAAGAGAAAAAAAAAGAATCCCCGTTAATGTTGTGATCGTTATACCCTTTACGGTAATGGCTTATATGTTATTTGCCAGGGGCCTTAGTATTTGTAATCAGAAAGGCAGGATGTCATTTAATACGTGTAGAAATGCTGGATGCCTTCTCTCCCCTTGAAAAAGAAATTGGAATGAAAAGCCCTTCCATGCTTTGGGGGAGAGGTGGAGTGCAAAGATGGATAAACTAAAGAAAGGAGGTCAAGGGGGATGAAATGAACCACCTGTGCTCTTCTTTTGGCACAGGGAAGGGAATTATGCCTTCCCAACCTATCATGGAGTTATTAAAAGAGGGGGAAAGGATATCTATCTATCTATCTATCTATCTATCTATCTATCTATCTATCTATCTATCTATCTATCTATCTATCTATCTATCTATCTATCTATCTATCTATCTATCTATCTATGAGATTCAGCTATCTATCTATCTATCTATCTATCTATGAGATTCAGCTATCTATCTATCTATCTATCTATCTATCTATGAGATTCAGCTATCTATCTATCTATCTATCTATCTATCTATCTATCTATCTATCTACCTAGATAGATAGATAGATAGATAGATAGATAGATAGATAGATAGATAGATAGCTTGGAAGAAGAGTGGGTCAGGAGAAGGAATTTTAATTCCTTTCTACTTCAGGTGAGGGATACTGGGTTAATAAAAGGTAAGGATAGGGGTGGGGGAACATGGGAGTGGAGTTAACCTCTCCAAAACAGAAGGGAATCATAACACTTTTGTCTTTTATTAAATATTAGGGGAATAAGAGAGAATGAGTGAATTTTGATAAAAGAGGTCATAACGACTACTCTTTCCTCAAGGGATGGGGAAATTAGTATTTTTAATATCTAACCATGTAGCAGGACTGCATTACTATTATCCTTTACAGCGTTCCTATTACCTACTCCTATTGGTATTTTATGACCATCGCTTTGCTGGTTGTATCTTATGATTTATGATCGCATCTCATGATTTATCACTTTGTTGCTTGTATGTGTGCTGAGAGCTTATGCACTGGAGACAAATTCCTTGTGTGTCCAATCACACTTGGACAATAAAGAATATTCTATATAATGGCAAATATGGGGAGGAGGCTAGCAGTGCCTGTATTTTTGGGCAGATATTCCCCTGCTCAATGTATAGATAAAAATAATGATTTATAAATATTCCTTGTAAGTATATAAGGAAGTTGTAGAGGAAATCCCCTCCATATGTATGGGAAGGAAATAATAACTCTCTTCCCAATTTATGGACAGGGAATTGAAGAGTCTTGCGTATATTGGGAGGAGTGTTTAATTAAAACATTCAAGAGGTGTGGTAATTACACCTCATCTTGTTATGGTTATAATGAGGAGTGAGGCTCCCATTCTTTTATTTGTATATAAGAAAGGACAGTATTGAGGGATGAGCAGTATTGTGTATTTGGAAAAGGGGAGAAAATTAATTAGCCTTAATTTATGCATAAGGAATCAATTCATTCTCCCTATGTGTGCTTAGGAGCAAATTAAGAAAAGGGGTTAAAAATCTTTTCCTTGATAAAAGAGGAGTGTGAAAATGAGGAAAATGCAAAATTAGAAAATGCTTACATCTAATTTACATGGTTGTGCGTGAATTGTTGAAAGGGTGACTTCTACCCATCTTTGCTTTTAGGTTGTATATATTTTCCTGTAGGATATTGTGAGGGCATTGTGAGAAGAGGCTCTCTTTTTATTTGTTTAAGCAATCGCTTAATGTTAGATGAGCAGGGAGAATTATAAAGAATTACAATCTATAGTCTGGGATACAGTGTTCATTCGTTTAAGGAAACAGCTATCCAGTCTTTAATAATCTGTTACCTGGTTTTGTAGCGTGGGTCAGTGTGATCAGGTATCACAATATACTTAATGAAGTATGGATTATCAAGATGCTGCTGTTTTATCAGGGAGAATCATTCTTTTCTATTTTAGAATGCAATTAATGCTCTCCAGCTTGGGTGGAGTATCTGGATTTGAACAAACAGGGAAAATATCTTTCCTTTGTATTTTGTCTGTCTCTGGGTAGAAATATATGAGATCAAGGATATTTAATATCCACTCGCTCTTAACTGAAAAAGAAAACATTGGAGAAAATAATTTTATTTCCCATCTTTGCAGTGTTGTATAATTGTAAATATTAAAGAGTTCAAGATAGTGCTTATATCATTTTAGTGCATAATAGCTATGTGAGAAAGAGCACTTTAAACAGTTCATTCCTTAGGAATTGGTTTGGGTATTAGCTTGTGTAGATTGTTTTGTAACTAGGAGTTTGCAATGCGTGTTGTAGCTATCTATATTAGTAATAAAATGTTACTAGAGCTTTGAATTGTAGTACGCAGCTCTTTTCTGAAGTCACTATTCTTTCAGTGAGGAAGATTGGCTTTGTATTGAAATTAAGTTATTAACTAAGGGGGAATATTACATTTTCTAAATGAAATATCAATGATCAGCTATCGTCTTCTAAGAAATGACTTTAAGGATGGGAGAATGGCTATTGCAATGCAGTTAGACGATTTATAAGTGTCATAAATAGAAATATTACAGTGGAGTAAAATGAACATCCCTCCTTAAAAATGCTGGTTGTCATCTATAAAATTCTATAAGGCCTATTGACTTGGGAGACTGCCTGTTTCTCATAGGATGTGCCCAACCATTTTGTTCTTGCAGCGTTGGCATATTCCATAACCAGTTTTGTCTATTGGGACTCCAGAATCACACATGCTTTGCAGTACCTTTACATTCTCCCAGACATCTGAATGGCCTCCAGAAGAGAAGATTGGTTCCTCACACAGCCAGGGAGAGTGAACACCTTTTCACTCCATCTGCTCTGTCCTTTTTATCTTTTACTGATTTTATTGTAATGTCTTTATTTCTCTGTTGTAAGCTGCCCAGAGTCATTGAGATTTGGGTGGCAGATAAGTTTAATAAATGCTTATTTTACAAATGCAACTTTATTTATTCAATTTCTATAATCAATCACCCATCTCAGCCAAGTGACTGAATGGCTTACAATTCTAAAACTGTAAAACAGTTAAAACAATTAAAAAACAATAAAAATGTCCAAATAATAAATACAGCAGCCAAGGTGGTTTAGCCAACTAACAGTAAAGGCAAGGAATGGGGCCCTTAACTCTTTTGGAGCCCCTGGTTCAGGAACAAGTTTTTAAAGCCTTATAAAAGAAAATCGCCCAGGGTTGGGGTCATTATAATCTCCAAGGGAAGAATATTTCACAAAGCAGAGGCTATAATGGAGAAGACCCATCTTCTTGTTCCCTCCAGTTAACACCCTTTGAGTAATGGGATTTGCAGCATGTCTACAAAGAGTTAACAATGGAAATAATTTAACTGATGACTTTGTTTCAGAAAATGGATGGGATGAACATAACAGGATTTTTACGTTTGCTATTTATCAAGTGTAGCCTCCTATCCCATGGAAAGGACACCAGCACTGCAGCATTTTTTGAAATAATATAAAAAAAAATGCTTCAAGGTATATAGGAGGTGTGAACACAGCATCTGTCTGCAACACTTTAAAAGTAGCAATATCTTTTCCTGGGCTTGTGTTGTTGTCTTCTGCAGCTGCCATGTGACCTCAGGAAAGACAGATCGGCTAAGAATTGTGAGTCCATGCTTCTAGACATCTTTTTTGAATTCAATTGAAGGCTCTACATGGCTCCACTCATCAGTATGTCCTGTTTGGCATAGAAAAATCGATTGCTACCAATGTTTGTTTTTAACGGTTACTGTGGTTATTTTTTTATTACATATCAACTGAGGGGGAACATTGATAATAAATGAATACATATGGTCTAGTTTTTGATGGAGCCACATTGTGGGTTTACACTGAAGATTCATGCTGGTAAGGGCCATCCTGAAAGTTCTTCCCACATATTAAAGATTACAGTGGCACAAAAGTTCTTTCAGAGTTGAAGTAAAAAAATACTTATTTTTTTTTCTGTAGTAGAAGTGGGACGATCAGCTTGTAAATGCCAGGATATTTGGGGTCCTAGTTAGTGTAAAGACATCTACTTTATTGGGGGCAACTCAGAAAAAGGCACTAAGAATAAGGTAATTTGGAATGTGGTATTACAAATTGGAACAGAAGAACAAATTGAGTTGAAGCACACTTTTCTCTGTTGAAAGTGTGTGTTTTCCTGTTTGTGGATCTGTTATTGTTGTAGTAACTTGATGCAGCCTGAAGTCTTTATACAGAAGATAATAAATTCCTTTATATATAAAGTCCTTTTCACATTTTGGTTAGATTCTTGCTGGTCAGATGTGTTAATACTGATATTTCAGTACAAATGCTATCTTGTATTACTATGAAAATGTATCATGTCAGAATATAAGGGTTAGAAAAGCTCTGGGCTAGAAATAAGGCAACACTGATTTAAAATATCCACCTGATTATGAAGCTCGCGGAGTGATTTTGGCCATGTCTA